TAGGGTGACATAAATACATCTCAGTCCGTCTTAATGGTCATTAGGTTTCTTCGATGCCGGTTTACTTTGCCTTGCGCCATTTTTGTACTACTCTTGAATGTAGTTATAATGTAATGGTTAAGGGTGTGTCGACAATTTTATCGTGGTTTAATTTCATGTTCTTAAATTCTTTTTCTTCATTAAAACAAATCGCTAGATACGCTCTGTTTTTAAGATGACCCTTAAACCTTCCTTGGTGAAGACTATCTCTAGTTTAAAAATAGCAAAGAATGTAACTGAAAATGGAAGTCTGTTTTGGTGTTGCATATTACTCACGTTAGTATCTTCTAGTTGTAACACATTTACATCTAGATTACTTATTGTTTGATTTCAAACATGAAAACGTTTTTAACGGATGTAGAAGTCGGGATGACAAACGGTTGCGCTGTGATTCCAGTTATGGTCGAAGTTCCAGAAGAGAACCTGACTCAGGTAGAGAAGAAGCGCCAAGGGCTCCTCAGCGGAGTGAACGAAGGTAAGTTTTTAATGATAGCACTAAATGTGTGTGCCAAGTAAACAGCCGGCCACTGATCGCTGAAAAGCATAGCACAGTAGGTGATGGTCAGACTTTTGTGCGCAGTTATGACGATTCAGAGTCTCCTTCCAGAATTAGAATAAGCGTAAAACGATATCCTTACTTCGGCATTGTTCAAAATGACTGATATTTTTTTTAGAACCATGCGGTGAACAGGAAATTCTCAAACCAAAGAGGTATTGTCGAGCCAATGACTCTCAGTAAATGTGAATGTAGTTTTGCAAACAATTTTAGACAATGGACATTTCTGAAATGACATTTCGATTTTGGGCCCGTTACTGATCATTTGAACATTTGGTTTATACATGGTTAGGCCCAAACGTAAAACAGCGATGATAATATTTACTTAACTGCCTAGACGTTTCGCTGGTGATACAAAAATTATTCAGTTCATTGCCATGGTCAGCTGTTAATGACACTACTAGAAATCATAGACATCACGCAGAAGTTCAACTTTAATCTACTTTATTTTCATAATCACATGATCGAGATGGAATACTTTTATAAAATCGAATATGATGTTGAAATTAAAATTACCATGGTCTGTGATGAATCGAACCAATGATTTTAAAAGTTTAAGTATAAAAGTTATAATATATTTTTGAACAAATTTATTTTGCCTCTGCAAAGCTCCTTCGTTTGATTTGATATGACGAATGTTGCACAAGATTGCGGATAAAATGAACAGTAATTGACAATACCTTAAGAATACTCGAAGTGTCAAAAATCCACTCTCCAAATGTTGCTTTCGGTATTACTT